TCGTTAGGGGTTAATTAGGGGTTAACGGGGCTCATTAGGGGTTAACTGGGTTAATTAGGGGTTAATTAGGGGTTAACGGGGCTCATTAGGGGTTAATGGGGTTCATTAGGGGTTAATTAGTGGATAATTAGGGGTTAATGGGGTTCATTAGGGGTTAATTAGGGGTTAACGGGGCTCATTAGGCGTTAACGGGGTTCATTAGGGGTTAATTAGGGGTTAACGGGGCTCATTAGGGGTTAACTGGGTTCATTAGGGGTTAATTAGTGGATAATTAGGGGTTAATGGGGTTCATTAGGGGTTAACGGAAGTGGGATAACGGGACTGGGATAACAGGGAATGGGATAACGGGGACTGGGATAACGGGACTGGGATAACGGGACTGGGATAACGGGACTGGGATAACGGGGACTGGGATAACGGAACTGGGATAACGGGGAATGGGATAACGGGACTGGGATAACGGGGAATGGGATAACGGGGAATGGGATAACGGGAGGGGATAACGGGGACTGGGATAAAGGAACCGGGATAACGGGACTGGGATAACGGGACTGGGATAACGGGGACTGGGATAAAGGAACGGGGATAACGGGACTGGGATAACGGGACTGGGATAACGGGGAATGGGATAACGGGGACTGGGATAACGGAACGGGATAACGGGACTGGGATAACGGGAAGGAACCGGGATAACGGGGAATGGGATAACGGGACTGGGATAACGGGACTGGGATAACGGGACTGGGATAACGGGGAATGGGATAACGGGGAATGGGATAACGGGGACTGGGATAACAGGGAATGGGATAACGGGACTGGGATAACGGGACTGGGATAACGGGGAATGGGATAACGGGGAATGGGATAACAGGACTGGGATAACGGGAAGGAACCAGGATAACGGGACTGGGATAACGGGGAATGGGATAACGGGACTGGGATAACGGGGACTGGGATAACGGGGAATGGGATAACGGGACTGGGATAACGGGGACTGGGATAACGGGACTGGGATAACGGGAAGGAACCGGGATAACGGGGACTGGGATAGCGGAACGGGGATAACGGGACTGGGATAACGGGGAATGGGATAACGGGACTGGGATAACGGGGAATGGGATAACGAGACTGGGATAACGGGAAGGGGATAACGGGGAATGGGATAACGGGGAATGGCATAACGGGACTGGGATAACGGNACGGGGATAACGGGGACTGGGATAACGGGACTGGGATAACGGGACTGGGATAACGGGACTGGGATAACGGGGACTGGGATAAAGGAACGGGGATAACGGGACTGGGATAACGGGGACTGGGATAAAGGAACGGGGATAACGGGAATGGGATAACGGGGACTGGGATAACGGGGACTGGGATAACGGGAATGGGATAACGGGACTGGGATAACGGGAACTGGGATAACGGGGACTGGGATAACGGGACTGGGATAACGGGACTGGGATAACGGGACTGGGATAAAGGAACGGGGATAACGGAACGGGGATAACGGGACTGGGATAACGGGGAATGGGATAACGGGAATGGGATAACGGGGACTGGGATAACGGAACGGGGATAACGGAACGGGGATAACGGGACTGGGATAACGGGACTGGGATAACGGGACTGGGATAACGGGACTGGGATAACGGGGACTGGGATAACGGGAGGGGATAACGGGACTGGGATAACGGGAATGGGATAACGGGGAATGGGATAACGGGGAATGGGATAACGGGACTGGGATAACTGGACTGGGATAATGGGAACTGGGATAACGGGGACTGGGATAACGGGGAATGGGATAACGGGACTGGGATAACGGGGACTGGGATAACGAGACTGGGATAACGGAACTGGGATAACGGGACTGGGATAACGGAACGGGATAACGGGACTGGGATAACGGGAACTGGGATAATGGGAACTGGGATAACGGGGACTGGGATAACGGGGAATGGGATAACGGGACTGGGATAACGGGAATGGGATAACGGGGAATGGGATAACGGGACTGGGATAACGGGGACTAGGATAACGGAATGGGGATAACGGGAACTGGGATAACGGGACTGGGATAACGGGGACTGGGGTAACGGGGAATGGGATAACGGAACGGGGATAACGGGACTGGGATAACGGGGACTGGGATAACGGGGACTGGGATAACGGGGACTGGGATAATGGGAACTGGGATAATGGGAACTGGGATAACGGGACTGGGATAACGGAACGGGATAACGGGAAGGAACCGGGATAACGGGACTGGGATAGCGGAACGGGGATAACGGGAGCCCCCCGTACCTCGATCCTCAGGGGGAAGCCGCCCCCGGGCCGCAGCCCCGGCACGTGGGAGCTCAGCAGGTTGTGGGTCAGCAGCTTCATGGCGCCTCTTCCGCTTCCGGCGCGTCACTTCCGGCCAGGAAATGCGCGCGGTTGCCACGGCAACGGGACGCTGCCAACCCGGAAGTGGGCGTGGCCTGGAGGGTGGGGTTGGCTTAAAGGGGCAGAGACAGGAAAGTG